CCGACGTATGGATAAGAGTTTAGAGCAGGGGAAGAGTGGGCAGTGGGGTGAGTGAGACCCACTGCCGAAATGCTGTCAAAAAAAAAAATAGATATCGATGCGATCGTGGATCAGGAATTGAATCGCAGCCCCATGGCCAGGCCTCAGCCGCCAAAAAATTTCAATAAATCTATCAAGAAACCCACTAACCCAACCGTAGGCTCAAAAAAAAAAGGTGGGTACCATATGGTCAGGTCCTCGGGGCGGTTCGAACGCCCGTCTCTCCTATTACAATCCCAATTTGATGGCGAACAATTTGGTTGGAGTGATTTACTGTAATCCACGAGGACTTTCATTGGTGCGTTGATCTGGATTCAAACGGGCCGGAACTGGAGCATCCTCTGAGGTTCCTACGTACGCGTATTCCTGTTCAACCCCGATTCACCTGTTCATCAATTCACTGAGCGCCGTGCGCACACCGCTCTCCTGATCATCTACTGATGCGGCCTGATGGGGCGAGGCTGGAGGGCCCACGACACGCAAAAAAAGCATTCTTCACAGCAATACATAGCAGGGGCCCGAATCGAACGGGCTACTCTGGGCATATTTTTCTACTTCTCCCGATGAATGCGTACCCGGTGCACACCTTGTGCAACCCCGCTTGTATCCGTTTGCATTTAGCGCTGGTTATATTATAATTATACTGCGGACTAATTTTGCGGTCAGTCGCTGGGTTACCGCTGCCTTTCTCGGAACGCAATTTGAAATTTAGGCAGCAACATACATACCTCACGTGCACTCCAAGGGCTATGCGTTGAGGGAGGAACATAATCTTATGGACAGACACGAAACGAGCAAAAGACAAAACAAGCGGACACGAGCCACGAAAGAGAAGAAAAAGACTGCATTGAAGCTTGTGCATGTCCCCGGGCGGATTCGAACCGCCGCACCTTCTGTATATTCATCATCTACATAAATCGTGAAGGGTGCTCGTCCGACCCACAGGGACGTGAGGAATAGGGGAAGAGGGTTGGTGAGACGGCAATGGATTTCACGAACATGTTTGTGGAGCGTTTTATTTGAATTTTAATCCCCAAGGACTTGCATTTGGTGTACTGTATCACTGGGTTGAGTTGGATTCAGGATTCAATCCGTCGGAAGTGGGATTGGATAAGCCGTGGCTCTGAGGTTGTCCACAAATTCGAGTTTGGTTCTGAAATGTTATGGTAGATGCATGCGGATGTACTTTGATGTGAACGCACAACAAAAGACAAAAGACAAAAGACAAAAGACGAAAGGATCGGTCAGCCAATACCATCCAGAGAGAAAAAGACTGCGATAAAACTCACCATCACAGCGCACTTTCTGCCAATGTACTGTGTAGTCGGAAAAGGAAAAGGATAAAAAAGGATAAAAAAATCCCAGCACCAGCTTATGGCCCCGGGCGGATTCGAACCGCCTCACCTTCTCTAATAGACACGTGTGGAACTAAATCGTGAAGGGTGGGTGTCCAACCCACGGGGACGCGATGTGTACCATCCTACGAGGTTAGAGCAGTAGAAGATCTGGTGATAGGGGTGGGACCCACTGAGTACATAGAAGATAGATATCGATGCAGTCTTGGGTCAGAAATTGAATCGCAGCCCCAGACCTCAGTTATACTGTAAAGAAATATCAATAAAGCTATCAAGAAACCCAGTAACCCGAACGTAGGCTCGAAAAAAAAGAAGAAAAAAAGGTGTGTACCGCAAGGTGAGGTCCTCGGGGCGATTCGAACGCCCGTCTCTCCAATTGAAATTTCACCGCACCGAATAATTTAGTGGGAGCGATTTACTCTAATCCACGGGGACTTGTATTGATCATTCTAACGGTCACAATATGCTGCGAGTCGACTTGCACCGCGGAACACAGGCCCAGCACTTGACAAAGTACGACTCCCACCCAAAAAGAAGTTCATCTCCTCGGAGCTATAGCAGGGCCCGAATCGAACGGGCCACTCCGGGCATATTTCTGCGCCATCGTAATATGGCTACCCGGCGCACACCGTGTGCAACCCCGCTGGTGTGCGTTTGGAGTCGGCGCTGATTATGTTGAAGATTACTTATATTGAAGATGGATTTTCTCTATAGATTGCCAGTGGAGGTTGTCAATCGTGGGTCAGCTATCAGAGGAAGTCGCGATCCTCGACCACTGTTCACCCCAGTGGAAGTTAGCATTGGATCTATCAAGCAACCCTGACCGTGGCCCTGGGCTGAGAAAAAAACCTAAATACCACCAAATCAAGTCCTCGGGGCGGTTCGAACACCCGGCTCTCCAGTTGCAATTTCACTATCACTGAAGGATTTGGTTGGAGTGATTTACTTTAATTCACGAGGACCTGTATTGGGTGTGTTACTGACTGTGTAGCTGGGCCCTATACAAGCACGGCCGGGCCAGCTGCGCTTGACCGCATACTCCCAGCGCTACCCTCTCTCTCCCAGTCTTATCGATCTCGAGTCGATCGCCCCTCGCTCGTCGAATCAAGTCGAGGTTGGATCTTGTATTTTCTAGTGTGTAACTCGTAGTGAAGAGAAGATGGCCGACACTATGCCCCACCCGCTGCGACGATCGAGATCAACGATGCGATGTTTTGCACGCACTGGGGAGGTTGTGAGTGCCGTCGCTTTCTCTTCCCCTTGTCATCGCATACGATCTCCGTACTCTGATAATGCGAGCGCGAGCGGTTCCCTCGTGCAATGTCGACGTGCCGTTACCTCATCACCCGTCACCGATCATCGTATCATTACACCCCTTCTCGTCCTCTTCTACGCTACTTTACCTCGGACGCTAACCACGCCCGCAGTGCACCGACTGCAACTTCGACGGCCGCGAGGGGAACGACGCCTTCTTCGGGTTCGGCCCGATCGACCGCGAGGGCATCGACACTCCGCCTGCGATCGTGAATAAGGACGGGATGTATCAGTGTAAGAAGCATGCGTCTGCTGGTGAGTTTTTGGTTTTGAGTGGCATTTGTGTTTTGTCGACCCTTTTCCCTACTTCGTGCGCCCGTGGCTCGGGCGGTAGCGGATAGCTTCTCCCCCGCCCTTTCCCCACGTCGTGCATGCGCCTCGGCGGATCTTCCATCCGCGTCGCAGCGCTCGCTCTTCCGCCTACCTTTTCGTGGCTCGTTTCGGGGGTGTGCTCTACGGGGGGCGCGATGTCTCACCCTCCCCATGCTCTATCCCGCGTTCCCTCCATCCCGTTCTCGTCCCTCCCTTCCACCTTCCCTTGTCCCTTCGTCCCCCCCTTCCACCTTCCCCTTTCCCTCCCTTCCCTCGCTCTCACTCCCTCTCGCCGCTCCCTTTATCTTTTTCCCATTATAATCCCTTCATCTCGGCGTCCTATTCGTCGTTCTCCCTGCCTTTTCCCCCTTACAATCGCATAACGGATAACGAACGCTAACTACCCCCGCACAGCCTGCAACCAATGCTACGGCTGGAAGAAGCAGATCACGCCGCTGTCCCTCGCTGCGAGGACGAAGAGATTGCGGCGGCGAAGGAGGAAATAACTGCAAGGGAATACGGGCGAAGGGGGGTGGAATGGGAGAAGCGTAGGAGGGAATACAAGAGTGGGTAGGGGAATATTTACAACGTCGGGTCGTGTGTCGGTCGGGTAGCACGACGAATGAATGTATAACTATTGAATATAACGCAATGCAACGCACGCGAGTGTAGCAGAGTCACTGAGCTGCGGTACTTACTTACTCAGTACTGAGTATTGAGCACGAGGACCCGTGTTCTGGATATACATCTAGCATCATCCAGGCTCCTGCGTGCACGACGAACTGTCCGCCACGCCTTGGAGTTGGAAAAGGATTTTTTTCTTTTTTTTTTAATTATGAAAAAGCAACGCCTTCAAATTATGTCCCCGGGCGGGATCGAAACGCCTCACCTTCTGGAATAGACATGTGTGGAACTAAATCGTGAAGGGGGGGGGGGATTTATTATACTCGCGTGGTCCAAATGTCTGAACAACGAGTTTACCGAAGACAAACAAGTAGTAATGTACGGGTGGTTATCCTTGGTGGGTGTCCAACCCACGGGGACGTGATGGGTATGATCCTACGAGGTTGGAGTAGGAGAAGAGGGTTGGTGGGAAGTGAGTGAGATCTCGCTGCCGAAATACTAGAAAATATATATGGATGGGATCGTGCCATGGATGAGGAATTGAATCGCCGCCCCTGGCCTCAGCCGCAATATATATATAAATCTATGAGTATGAGCCTGGGCTCAAAAAAAAAAAAGGAAGAAAGTATTCCGAGTAGGTCCTCGGGGCGGATCGAACGCCCGTCTCTCCAATTACAATCTCTATATGATGCAGGACAATTTGGTTGGAACGATTTACTCTAATCCACGAGGACTTGTATTGGGGCTGTTGCTGGTTTGGATTGAAACCAAATTCTACCGGGGGAACTGCCAGTGGTCAGCTTAAGCTTTTTTGTGTTCTGAGGTAAAGCGCCAAACACGAATCACTTGTTCGTGAATTCACTGAAGACCTCACGGAGCCCACGCCCATGGGGCTCATACGATGCAGCTGGTTATCTACGTCCCGGCGCTTGGGAAACACAACGCACACCCAAAAAGACATCCGACCACAAACTACTGCGGGGGCCCGAATCGAACGGGCTACTCCGGGCATATGTATTATGACACCGCATTATGGGTACCCGGCGCACGCTGTGCAACCCCGCTTGTTTCTACCGCTCATTATATGGCACATTTTCGCGTCAGATTCGCTGAATCACCACCGGCGTCCTCGCGTCGCAGTTTTAAATTTATGTAGCAACGTACATACCTCACATGAACTCCAGGATCTATGCATAGAAGGGGGAACAAAACCAAATAAACGCACACAAGAATACAAAAACAACCAGCCACGATAGGTACAATGGGTAGGTAGAATCACGAAAGAAAGAACAAAAAGATGCACTCAATCCTATTATGCATGTCCCCGGGCGGATTCGAACCGCCTCGCCTTCTGTAATAGAGACATGGGGTACTAAATCGTGAAGGGTGGGCATCCAACCCACGGGAACATATAGAGAAGAGGTTAGAGTAGGGAGGAGTAAGAGAAGAATACTAGAGGAGAGGGTTGGTGCTGATTGGATTGGAGATTGATTTTCAACGGATTGGAAGTTGTCGATCGTGGATAAGAAATTAGAGTAAGTCGCCATGTTCGACCACAATTCATCCCAATAAATATTGAATCTATCAAGCAATGCGGTAACCCGCATGCGGTCCAAAAAAAAAGCAGTAGACCACCAAGTCAGGTCCTCGGGGCGGATCGAACGCCCGTCTCTCCATTGCCATATTCATGATTCTGAAAACGGTATTTGGGTGGAGCGATTTACTTTAATCCACGAGAACTTGTATTAGGGGTGTTGCTAGTTTGGATTCAAACCAAATTCCAACGGTCAAATGTATGATGAGCCTTGGCTCTGAGCTAAAACACGAAACACGAATCCAAATCGCTGCTGATCACCTAAACAGATACTTAAATCGTAACATTTCCTGGAGTTGGGAAAGCATGCCAGCGATGTTCTTTTATGGACACCCCAGCGCTTGAGAACCCAGCACTCCCACCCAAAAAGAAGTTCATCTCTGGAATCGAAACGCATAACAGGGGCCCGAATCGACCGGGCTACTCCGGGCATATTTTCTCCCTCCTTTCATCACATGGATACCCGGGCACACCTTGTGCAACCGCGCTTGTATCCGTTTGGATTTGGCGTTGATTATACTTGGGAGTCATTGGCTCAAGGGATTGCAAGTGAAGACCGTGCGGTCGGAAATTAAATCGTGAGCTCCACCTCAGGCCTCAGTGGTAGTCAGTCGTAGTAAAGATTATTGAAGAATTTATCAGGCAAACCACAACACTCCGACAGAAAAGAAAATCAAAAAAAAAAAATCCCAACCTTTACACATGTCCTCGGGGCGGTTCGAACGCCTGTCTCTCCAATTGCAATTTCACATGAAACTCATATTCGTGGAGCGATTTACTCTAATCCACAAGGACTTGTATTGGGGGTGTTGCTAGTTTGGATTCAAATCAAATTCCAACGGTCGAAAAGTATGATGAGCCTTGGCTCTGAGTTAAAACACGAAACACGAATCCAAATCGCTGCTGATCACTGGCATCTAAACAGATACTTAAATCGTAACATTTCCTGGAGTTGGGAAAGCATGCCAGCGATGTTCTTTTATGGACACCCCAGCGCTTGACAACCAGCCAAAAAGAAGTTCATGTCCTCAGAGTTATAGCAGGGGCCCGAATCGAACAGGCACTACGGGGATATTTTCTCCCTCCTTTCATCATATGGATACCCGTGCACACCTTGTGCAACCCCGCTTGTATCCGTTTGGATTTGGCGCTGACTATACTTGGGAGTGATTGCCTCAAGGGATTGCAAGTGAAGACCGTGCGGTCGGAAATTAAATCGTGAGCTCCACCTCAGGCCTCAGTGGTAGTCAGTCGTAGTAAAGATTATTGAAGAATTTATCAGGCAACCCAAAACACTCCGACAGAAAAAAATCCATAAAAAAAACCCAAGCGTCCACATCATGTCCTCGGGGCGGTTCGAACGCCCGTCTCTCCAATTGAAATTTCGCTGTGCCGAATCATTTAGTGGGAGCGATTTACTTTAATCCACGAGGACTTGTGTTAGGTGTGTTGCTAGTTTGGATTCAAACCAAATTCTAGCAGGGGAACTGCCAGTGGTCAGCTTAAGCTTTTTGTGCTCTGAGGTAAAGCGCCAACCTCGAATCACTTGTTCATGAATTCACTGAACACCTCACGGTGCCCACTCCATGGGGCTCATACGATGCAGCTGGTTATCTACGCTCCAGCGCTGGGGAAACGCAACGCACACCTAAAAAGAAATCTGACTACAAACTACTGCGGGTGCCCGAATCGAACGGGCACTACAAGGATATTTTCTCTCTTCTTTCATCATATGGATACCCGTGCATACCTTGTGCAACCCCGCTTGTATCCGTTTGGAGTTGGCGTTGATTATACTTGGGAGTGATTGCCTCAAGGGATTGCCAGTGGAGATCGTGAGTCAGAAATTAAATCGTGACCTCCCACCACAGCGGCAATGAAGATTACAGTAAATCTATCAAGCCGACCAGCCAGCAAAAAAAAATGACTAGCCCCAAATCATGTCCTCGGGGCGGATCGAACGCCCGTCTCTCCACTATTCGATCAAAGAGATATTTGGGGAGCGATTTGGTTTAATCTACGAGGGCCCATGTTACTGATTGTGTACTGGCCGTAGGGTGAGCGGGCAACGGAACTCGGAACTCGATCTATCAAGCCACCCTAAGCCAAAGAAAGATAAACTAAAAATTGCCGAACTAGCGAATCAGGTCCTCGGGGCGGTTCGAACGCCCGTCTCTCCAATACTTCGTTCGCCTGCTTTCCTTACTTGAATGGAGCGATCTACATTGATCCACAGGGACTGGGATTGCTCCTTTAATGTGTCGTGCTCTCTTGTGTATGTCGACGTCCCCCCCCTAATAAAAAATAAAAATAAAATAAAATAAAACCGAGAAAAAAGACCAACGTTCTCACATAGTGTCCCCGGGGCGGCTCGAACGCCCGTCTCTCCAGTAATCCAAGGTGTATCGGATACACCGGGCTGGAGCGGTTTGCTGTAATCCACAGGGACTTGTAATACTCTTGTGGATCCCTGAATATGTCTCCTAAGCTATGGACTCAAAGTCAGACATCACCTTTTCCGGACTCTGCTCTGCACTTGAGATCGAGGATTCTCGGATACTCTTGGTTCGCGTGAGATTGAGGCCACCGGAACATGGACTAAACAGGGGGACGAGAAGATAAAGTGCAGTGCCCTGGGGTGACTTGATTTGGAATCCAACCCAACGGGTCGGAACTGGGACAGAATACAATCCTTGAAGGACGCACAAAGCCGTTCAAACACGAATCACCCGTTCATAAATTCATTGAACGCCGTGCAAAGACCACGCCCACGCCGCTGATTTCGGCCCCATGGTGAGCGCCGGAAACACCACGAGTCGCAAAAAGAACGCCGTCAGGCTAATGAATAGCGGAGGCCCGAATCGAACGGGCTACTCCGGGCATATTTTTCTACTGCTCCCAATGAATGCGTACCCGGTGCACACCTTGTGCAACCCCGCTTGTTTCTACCGCTCATTATATGGCACATTTTCTCGTCAGATTCACTGAATTACCACCGGCGTCCTCGCGTCGCAGTTTTAAATTTATGTGGCAACATAATGACCTCACATGAACTCCAGGAGCTATGCATGGAAGAGGGAACAAAACCAAATAAACGCACACAAGAATACAAAACAACCAGCCACGATAGGTACAATGGGTAGGTAGAATCACGAAAGAAAAAAGAAAAAAAGATGCACTCGAGCCTATAATGCATGTCCCCGAGCGGATTCGAACCGCCTCGCCTTCTGTAATAGAGACATGGGGACCTAAATCATGAAAGGTGGGCATCCAACCCACAGGGACACAATGGGTAGGGGTTTAGAGTAGTAGAGAGGAGAGCTCTAGTAGATGAGAGGTGCTGATTGGATTGGAGATTAATTTTCAACGGATTGGAGGTTGTCGATCGCGGATAAGAAATTAGAGTAAGTCGCCATGCTCGACCACAAGTCAGCCCAATAAATATTGAATCTATCAAGCAACACGGTAACCCGCATGCGGTCCAAAAAAAAAGCAGTAGATCACCAAGTCAGGTCCTCGGGGCGGATCGAACGCCCGTCTCTCCATTGTCATATTCATGATTCTGAAAACGGTATTTGGGTGGAGCGATTTACTTTAATCCACGAGGACTTGTATTAGGGGTGTTGCTAGTTTGGATTCAAACCAAATTCCAACGGTCAAATGTATGATGAGCCTTGGCTCTGAGCTAAAACACGAAACACGAATCCAAATCTCTGCTGATCACTGGCATCTAAACAGATACTTAAATCGTAACATTTCCTGGAGTTGGGACAGCATGCCAGCGGTTCTTTTATGGACACCCCAGGGCTTGAGAACCCAGCACTTCCACCCAAAAAGACGTTCATGTCCTCGGAGCTATAGCAGGGGCCCGAATCGAACGGGCTACTCCGGCATATTCCGACAGCACAGCAGTATGGGTACCCGGCGCACACCGTCTGCAACCCCGCTTGTGTCCGTTTGCATTTAGCGCTGGTTATATTATAATTATACTGCGGACTAATTTTGCGGTCAGTCGCTGGGGTTACCGCCGCCTTTCTCGGAACGCAATTTGAAATTTAGGCAGCATCATACTGACCTCACGCGTACGCCAGCAGCTATACTTTGAAGGCGGGACAAAACCATATTAAAAGCGCAAGAAAC